CGATGCCGAGCCCACTTACTAACAACATCCTCTTCTCCAAAAACAAAGGAAAAGAGGGTCGAGACTTTACTGAAATTTCGGCAGAGTCTCCCCTGAAAAACGAATTTTTACCAAATTCAACATGTCAAAACACAGAAATAATAAAATTCCAACCTGCAGCACGCACAAAGTAAAAGCACCCAATTTACAGAACATGCTAGAATCAATTATCAATCCAAACGGGTTTCAGACCCGTCATAACCACAAACACATTTTAACCACAACCATTCAGTAAAACTGAATATATAAACAAGCATTTAATCTCACCTTGACTGGGCTTCAAGCCCACCGACATAATCAAAACCAAACTTAATTCGTGGCTGCACCTAGATGAAACCCCGGGCTACCTACATACCCCTTGGTGAGGGATCAAGCCACATGTAGTTCTTCAATCAATAATCACGAACCAGATAATATACAATTATTTTCAGTAATACCCACAAGTTAATTCTAGAATCATCTTTTTCCTTTAAGTAAAATCACAATATCTCAGCTCATGAACACCAACCCATTTTTCTTTACTCACTTCGTTCTTAAGACTCATAAGTTAACAACCCTTTCCCTATGACAATTCATATATGCTAAGCATAATTCTTTTAAACGTTAATCTTTTTCCCAACATAGTATAATAATCCTTTTCCCTCTCCCTGTTACTTTACTACATGCAGGAGAGTCCAACGCCACGCGTAGTAAAGTAACAGTAACCAAAGTGTCCAGATCCTTTACCACATGCTAGAAAAATCCAACGCCACGTGTGGTAAAGTAACCAGTATCCAAGTGAGCACACATGCCGGAAAATCCAACGCCATGTGTGGCTCAACCAAACCATGTTCTACGAGTGCATACTGCTTTACCACATGCCGGAAAATCCAATGCCATGTGTGAGAAAGTAACCAATATCCAAGTGAGCCCACATGCCGGAAAATCCAACGCCACGTGTGATAAAGTACTAACAATCAAGTGATCCCACACACGCTGGAAAGTCCAACGCTATGTGTGGGTAAGGTAACTAGTATCCAAGGGAGCCCACACGCCAGAAAATCCAACGCCATGTGTGGGTATAGTAACCAGGAAAGGTACATATGATGGTGAGATTCACAACTTATATATATAATATAAAAATAATATACCCACCCTTAATTCCATTTTCCCAAGTTCTCAATATTCCAATGTACCCAAATATTTATTCATAGTATAGAAAATAAATTCTCACAAGCATAAATTCCATAAAGACCCAAATTATTCAGTCTCAATAATCAAAATAATCCAAAGTATATATAATTATGCCAACATTATTCAACCAGTCAATAACACATAAACATTCCAGGGAAACCATTCAATTGTAACAAGAACATTAACCAAATAATCATATCATGAATAATATAGTGCTCACGAAATTTAATTAAATCAATCTTTGTAAAGGCCCCCAAGAAACCCCCTACCTTGACACTAAAGCTTTTGCTAGTAATGTAAGATGACTCCCTAAGTTCCACCGCATTCACACTCAAACTCTCTTCCTAGTATTTCCTTCCTTTTCTTTCCTATTGTTTCCCATGCAAACCATGCACATCTTGCTTTTCAAAATGATACAATTGTATTCCTATTTGTATTAAAGGAATATTGGCTTCACTTTCATTTCTATTGGATGAAGCAATTGGCGGATGTTTAAGGGATAACAACATATTGTCCAAGCCAAAATCAAATATCTATCAAACTTTAAACTATTGTATGTTAGTGGAGGTGTCAATATGATGAAAACTAACATGCCACCTCCAGTTTACATGACGCCACAATTATGTAAAGAGCCACCCAACTTGCTTGCTCCTCACACTTAGTTTAAATACAATCTTTCCAACAATATCAAGTAGACACCACATGCTTGACAGAAAAAGGGATATGCAAACTAGTGGAAAACTCCAACTACCATACAATGAATTAGATGAAAGATGAATATGCATGTCTCTAATGAGTACATATTTCCAACTTCTTTCAAAAAAAGTAGACACCCACTTTATCTTTTACTTACCCAACCAAAATTTATCTATGCATGACAATTTATAAAACACTTTCATAATCAAACCCCATATCACCCAATCCATATATTTTAATAATAACCATAATAATAATAATAATCCCTAGAAAAACAATATCACATTCCGATAAAATCACAGTCAAAACATATATAAAACATCAATAAACCAAATAAGCCAAGTTCTAAATCAAATCTCATTTATGCATGCAATTTCATATTGGAAAAGTAACGCTTAATTAAAACAATGTCCACTCACTTCCTAATAATCCTAGCTGAGTCCCAAGACTAGCTTTCACAACCAATCAATCAAGCATCCCATAATCATATATTCCACAACTTCAAATATCAATAATATAATCTCATAATTCCAACATAGTCAAAATAACTCAAATAACAATCAAGACTCGTTTAAGGTCATTCTAGTACTTTTCGAAGGGTGAAACTACCTTGGAAAACTCACGGTCAACTGAGGGGTCAAACTTCCCATATTGGTCAACCAAGCCCGTGGGGCCCACGACCTCTGATTTCCGATCCAAAAGTTCCTACGAGTTCAATAAAGTATACTAAATACATTCTGTAAGTTTGGTCTCGATCGAACGGTCGGATCACTCTCGATCCCTCTCGATCGAACGGTCGGATCGCTCTCGATCACTAGTTTAGGTAACCTTAGAATCAATGATTCGGAGAATCCGGGACTTTGATTCTCGATCCGTGAGTTCCTACACGATCTTAGAGGAACAGAAAACAACATACTCGGAAATGGAGCCGATCCAACGGTCCGAACATATCGAACCTCGATATTGCCTAATAGGCGTAAAGCCGTTCGACTGTCATACGATAACCAAATTCGAATCCGAGCAGCGCGTGGGTGGCTTTAGAAAATTCCGACGACAGAAAATTCTAGAAACATCCTACAATACCTATACCAATACGTTCAGACTAACAAGGGGAACACTTTTTGTTCTTGGACCGTGGCCAAAAACTAGCCTGAACTAGCCGGAACGGAGTCAAAATCGTCGGCCAAAAATGAGTATTTTGAACGATCTATAAAACCTCAAAATCAATTTACAATACCTACATAAACGGATAGATCACGAAGAGTAGATGAAGTTTCATACCTTACTCGACGAAAATGGCGGACGAAAACTTTGAAAATCACTCGAACTTCTAGTCATTCCATTTTAGCTGGGAAAATGGGTAGGTTAGATAGAGGACATTGATACGAAACTCTTGCAACCAATTTCACTTGAATCGGATTTGTCGTTGAAAAATTGCTGCTCCTCGCGGAGGAGAGAGAGAGTGTGTCGGAGAGAGCAGGAGGAGAGAGAAACTGGTCTGTTTTAAAAATCCAACTTCAAAATATTTACGATTGTGCCACTACACTTTCGTTGACCACAATTTCTTCGTTAAAACTTCAATTTGGGCCCACTACGTGTCTACGAACTCGTGAGAGTGAGCTGTACGCAACGGTGCCACTCATTTCCCCAAAATACTTCTGGATTAAAAAGTGACCAAAGTACCCCTACTCCCAAGGGCAAAATTGTAATTTCATAAAAGAATTAAATTGGGTAAGGGATGTTACACTATCCTTGAGATTCTGCTCAAAATTCCCAGCCACTCACGGATCAACCTGATTATAGCTCTGCCAATTTCAACATTGGTATCGATTTCCAGCTAATCCTTATTAGTTGAAGGTGCTGACGTGCAATTCCAGTATAGATACCTCCAGTCCAACCTAAGCAACAGACGTCTCTGCAATGGTATTGTAGGCAGAAATCGAAGTCCAATATTCTAATGTCTTTCCAAACTTGGCAGTTCCTTTCATTTGTTGTATTTCAAACAATTCTCCTTGTACTCGTTTGTTTTATTTTCAAACATTTGTATTTCGCTTTACTTACCAGTTTTATTTAGACAAATTGTGAAGTCCTCACCCTTATGAGGTATAAAAAGAACTTACTTGGGAGATATTTGTCACTTAAATTTCACAATCGTTTGTTCAAATCAATAGCTTGGGGCGCAAGTGTTGGAAAATTGGTTTACCCAAAGGATGCTAACTTCGGAGGAAGCGACCAGTCGCCGGGTAGGCACGACCGGTCGTATCAAAGCAGATTGGAGGACTCAGAAATCGCCAAAAAGCGACTGGTGGCTAGGTACTTGCGACCGGTAGTTTTCATGCCCAGAAGCGCGTTTTAGAATCTGTCTAAAAGCGACTGGTCGCCACTACCGTGCTGTGTTGATTTTCCACGCGTTTTCAAACATCTTTTCCATGTGCTATGCTTTCTACCTAATTGCAAGGACTTCCTAAGTCATTTATGAGTTCTAGGAAGGTTGGCAAACACTTGGAAAGCTGGGATAGCACTTTATGGTTGTTTGTTGACTTGTTTCAAAGGCTTTCTAGATAAGGTGGCTAAAGGTGTAGCCATTGGTGACTTGCTTTTGGTTCACTTAACTCAAAGTCTATGTTGGGTGGCTGAAGGGTGAATGTGCAGGAAGAAGAAGCTTCCTCCTAAGTCCAAGGGCTTGTCTATAAAAGGGAAGTAGATGCAAGGCAACAAGTGTGGCTGAAACCATCAAGGGAGGAAGAGAGAGCAATCAGCTCAAGCTAGGAGCTAAGAGTTGGAGTCTTGTAAGTCTAGAAACTAAGGAGGGAAAATTAAGTAAGAGAGTCCACAAGAGCATTAAGGGTTTGAGAAAGGGGTGAGAGAGAAAAAGAGAGCTTGGGAGAGATTAGTGTTCAAAGGGGTTTCCATTTGTAAACCAAAGTTGTAACCTATCTTTCATTAGTGAATTTTCTCAAGGAGATCACTAAGAGGATGTGGGCAAGTTGCTGAACCTCTATAAATTTTTGTATTATTTGTGTGCTTGCTTATTTTTCTTGTGAGTGTGTGAGTTCATCCTTTTGGGTTGTGAGAGTTTGTTACATAGTCCATCAAGAACAAGATCCTAAAGGGAGTTAAGTTTTGCACAACAACAAGTTATTACATCTTACAAGTCTGTTAGGGTTTTTCACCCTCTAACAGTGGCACACTCAAACATAAAAGAAAGTTGACTTATTGACCGCGAATGGTCAATAGGTCAATGGGGAACTTTATCCAGCTAGCATAGGTACAATAGAAAAACGGATAGTAGTACTCGAAATAGATGCCAACATAATTTTTAAGGGTAACTTTAAATTTTTGCTGCTTCTATTGGTCTCCTCCCCTGCTGGTAGTGGTATTCGAAAAAGATGCCTGAATAATCTTTCACCTTTTTGTATAATCTCGGCGTTGACTCATTGATCAGGCTTTCAAATGGTTCAATCTCTTTATCTGATTTAGGGATGCAGAAGGCAGCCAAAGAGATCCTCTCCTTGTCTGGATTTATCACTACCCTGTGTATAGGGCTCTTGAATTTTCCATTGCTCAATATCTGTGTATCACAAGGAAATGAACAATCAAGCTTCTGTAAGCTAAACCAACTGTATTAGAGTGTTAAAAATATTTGATGACTTGGTTTTAGGCATAACAACGGTGAGATACAAAAGGGTAAATTTTTTTTTAAATTTTAATAGAAGCGATATTGGAGAGGGGGTTTTTCTCACACACACTACAAAGGTGCCACGTTGTTTGAATGTGAGACCACGGGTCTTCAAGTTAGGGCCATTTTCCACTATACAAGACCCCGTTGGCCAAAAGGGTACATTTTTAAGTTTTCAATTACTCACCAAATTTCAATTAAGCTTTACTCTTTAGGCATTGCTTTAAAAGTTAAAACCAATAATTGAACAGGTTGAGAAAGAACATTTTATTTACCTCTGCCTGATCACCAACATTAATGAGAAGCGCCTCAGGAACAATGGGAGATCTAAACCACTGATCGTCTTTAAGAAACTGAAGACCTTCCACTTGTTTGTCTTGCAAGAGAAGGGTGATTATTGTTCCATCCGCATGCGGTTTCACACCCAGGACGACATCAGGCCTTGAACACGGGGGATATAAGTTAAACCTCACATCCATTTTTCCGTGTTCTACATACAGGTCTCGAAAGCAATTATCATCCAAATTCAATAACCTTGCCATGGCCTCCAGGACAGTTTTTGTTACCACTTGTAACTTCATCGTATATTGGTCTAAAGTTTCACTGCAGTAATAATATATGTTGAACTATGAGGGATCATGATATGCTTATTGCTTCAATGTGAAGGAAGAAGATACATGTATAGCAAACACAAGTTACCTAAAAGATTTGGGATTTTGAGGCCAAAATTTGAACTTTCGGCGGTCTTCTGGATATACAGATAGGTATATTCGGTCAGTCCAATCAAGTGTTTGTTGTTCTGAAAAAACCATGTCGCTCCCATATCCTTCAGTATCATTGACTTGCCTCAAGTATTTCTGCTTCTCTTCCACTGGAAGTGCAAAAAATTGTTTTGCCATTTCGCGAACCTTGTCTAGGAATTCAAGAGTCATGCCATGGTTTATTACCTGGAACACCAAATTAAAAAATCCTCAAACATGTTTTACATTACATAAAGGTGGTTCAAATCAAACAAAAAGCAGGGAAATAAGTATAAACATCCTGGGATATGCTTACAAATCTAGACCTTTGTACCAAGTTTCCTGAACTAAAAATTGTTTACGTACAAGTTGTTTGAATTCAGACCTGAAAGCAACCCCATGTGGTAAGAGCTGATCGAAGTTTATCAAGTTGTTGTGCAGTGATTGAGGAAGGTGTGAGGAGGAGGCCAAGATCAATGACTGGAATATCCATCAACGCGGCAGAAGAAGCACTTGGGTTTCCAATGCCACCGTCTGTAACTTTATGGATGTATTTATCTGGCACTTTTTCCCCTTTGCCTTTGCCTTTGGCGAGCAGCTCTTGGACAGTTTTGGATCCTAACTCTTTCTTGGCAATAGTGGAAGACTCAGCCATTTCCATGTGGTTGGTTGGTTTCTTTCTAGCACCCCAAAAAAAGAGAGCTTCTGTAAATTCAGCTGCAAAATGTTCGGTGCTCACCTGCAAGGAAAGCTCATGACGGGAGCAACTTGGACGTTCCTGCAATTCAAGGTGAGATATTAAGGAAAGGCAAATGAGGAAAAAAACCCAAAATACTCAACAAAGACACAACAGCCCCTATCTTCAGCAACAAAAGACCTTTGAGTCCCACGTACGATTGAAAATAAAAAATCGGAACAGAAACATGAAGAGGTGTACGTACTTTTAACTTTATTTGAATGATTTGAAATGCATGCTTCGTCTTTGTGTGTGCATGTGAAGTGGTGTGTTGTTTGTTTGTATGTGAAGTAGCGTGATGTGAATGTAAATGTCTTACAGTGTTGTGCAATGTAAATTTATAAGGCAATTAATTGGGGCAAGCACATGAAGGTGTATACTATCGGATCAGACTAAACCGAAAAAAATCGTGTTGATCAAAAATCAGGTTGAGTTGACTAAAAACTGAACCGGATTGATTCAGACCAATTTCAGTTCCAATTTAATATCTCTAAATCAAATCGGACTAAACCAGACCGAAATCAAATAAAAAATAAAAATATGAATATATTTTGGTGGCCCAACTACTAATCCCATGATTTTTCTAACTTCTCAAGCCCAACTGTCAACATCTAACCTTACCTAAGCCCAACAACTAAAGCCCATTAACCAACACCTAACCTTAAAGCCATTTTTTCTTTCATTTCTCTCTCCTTTATCTTTACTTTTTCTTCCTTTGTCCGCCACTTCTCTGTCCTTTCTTCTTTCTCTTTATCTTTCTTCTTCTTTTTCTTTCTCTCTTTTTCTTTTTCTTTCTCTTTCTTCTTTCTCTTTATGATTCCGATTTTCTCTCTCTCTCTCTCTCTGTGTATTTTTTGGTGTGCTTCTCTCTACCTTCTTGCTATGAAGCCTCTTCATAAGCTGGTTTTGATGATCCAAGGACTAGATTCAAGCATAAGAATCTCATGCAAGACTATGAAGAGCTGCATGAATATGTCTTCTGTGAAGTTTTCATAATATGCCCAACTGTCAATATCTAACCTCACCCAAGCCCAAAAACTAAAGCCCATTAACCAACACCTAACCCTAAAGCCACTTTTTCTTTCATTTCTCTCTCCCTTATCTTTACTTTTTCTTCCTTTGTTCGCCGCTTCTCTGTCTTTCTTCTTCACTCTCTCTTTCTCTCTTTTTTCTTCTTCTTTCTCTTTCTCTTTCTCTTTCTTCTTCCTCTTTATGATTCCGATTTTCTCTCTCTCTCTCTCTCTCTCTCTGTGTATTTTTTTGTGTGCTTCTCTCTACCCTCTTGCTATGAAGCCTTCTTCATAAGTTAGTTATGACGATCCAAGGACTAGATTGAAGCATCAAAGTCTCATGCAAGACTATGAAGAGCCTCATAAATAGGCTTTTAAAAAAAATCACAAATGGTCCCTTAGGTTTACAAAATTATCACAATTCAACCCTAACTTTTTATGTGATACTAATGGTCCTTAAGGTTACCCTCCACACATCAAAATGGTCCCTACCGTTAGCTTCCGTTAAATTTTATGTTAAATTGCTGACGTAGCACATGTGTAGAGCCCACATGTCCAACAGTGTAGAGCCACGTGGTTTTAAATATAATATAATATTTTTAAAAAAATATTTTTAAAATTTCAAATTCATAAAAAAATAAATTAAAAGCAACTTAAATGTCGAATTTATTTTATGGGTTTCATTAGATTCATGTTTGTTTATGATTTTTTTATTTAGATTCATATAAAAGGATAAATAAAATATTTTGGATCTTCTTTATGTTTATGATTTCTTTTGGGTTTCTAATCTCCGTTTATTTCATTTCCTTCTGTCTACGTGACTTGCCGAAGAAAAATTGGAAAAAGGAATAATGAAATGGATCTTGTGATGTTTAGATGAAGGCTTAAAAATAAAAAACAAGAATTAAATGAAATGGGTTTTTATATATTTTAAGGCTAAAAAACCCAAAAAAAAATAAAAATTGCAATGGGCTCCGGTTTAAACCAAAACTGGTAAAATTGAACTGGAATTTGAGAGGTTCGGATTGGTTCGGCTCTCTCAGTCACTTTTAATAAAAATCAGACCAAACTGGACCAAATAAACAGTACAATTCTAATTCTAATTTTAGGTGAGAACGGAACCAAACCAAACCATGCCTGAATCTCTCTGAAGTGAGAAGTACATCATAGAAGAAAAAAATCATTAGTACTCTCCCCTTGTCTCTTAATCAATAAAACTTCCTTTGTTTTTCATACTCTTTCTTACTCCTAATACGAAGTTCATACATCGACCACTTTTAATACACCGCTATTATTGTTGATACGTGGTTCATACATCGACCACTGTTAATGCACCGCTAATACCTCGAGATTGCTAGCAATACCATCATCAGTTAAAAACTATTATAATTATGTTATTATCTTAATAAACTCATGATCATACTTTCTTAATGTAGAAATAATATTACAGATCTTTTAATTAGCCAATCAAAAAGTATTAAATTTGAACACAATAATCATAATAGAATTATTCTTAAGTTTTTGGATTATTTTCAGAAAAGTTCTGTAAAATATAATTAGGCAAAATTTAGACTGTATAACATCTCAATTATAAGATAATACTAAAAATATTCAAAAATTTCCTAGCATAAAATAAATAAAAAAACCTCACAAATCTTATAGATAGCAAGGCAAAAAGTAGTAGAATTTCAATCATTAGAGATAGTTGAGAAATTAAAAATAGAAGTACAAAAAACCTTGACTGAGCAAGTAGAAAAATTACATAATAAAATAGATAAACTATTAGTTTAATCACATATTTTATAATTAATAATAAATATATCAAGGACTAGCTGCACCCTGGTCCTCTTTCTCCTTGCCGACAACCAACCACAAAGAAGCTGGGGGGGAGGGGGGAGGTGGCCACTGCCCCACCTGCCCTCCGCCTATCTTCCCCATTCCTCTCCTCATCTCCCCTTCTTTTTCTCCCATCTTTTCCCCTCTTTTCCTCCCCTTCCCCTCCCTAGATAGTTTAGATCTGTTCGCATCTAAGTTTGTTTGTCTGTTTGTATTGTTTGGTTGTTTTTCAAGTGTTCTAGGTGACTGGTGTTGTCTTTGTCTCGTCAGCGGCGACAATAGTGACGTTGGATTGTGTCTCTCCTCGAGAGAGTTGTGATACCTGGTGGCTGATGTTTTGTCTCTTTTTCAACGATGGCGGCTTTAGCGATGCTGGTGATAATTGTTGGGATGTGTTGCTCTTCTTTACTCTGCGCCGACCGAAGAACTATACTTGGTAATAGGAGGTTTTCTTTGTCAGGTTTTGAGTTGAAGTGGAGCGCTTCTTGTTAAGCTCATAATTTCATACATATACATGCCCAAATTTACTTACTTCTTTTGATTAGTTTCCTATAATTTTGAGTTATTTGCCTCCCTTTGTGTGTTTTGTAGGCCAAAGGAGCATGAGAGCATAATTCATGCAATTCAAGCATGTTAAGGCCTAATTTGGATGAAGGGAAGAAGAGCTTAAAGACAAACTCATTTTTGGCTACAGCCCCCTGCCAGTCCAGTTCCGTAGGTCATATTGCAAGCTTTGTTTCAGCAACCGACACAGCTCGGATGAGGCAGCATCCTTCATAAAAGTTGTTCCAATGGGTGTGTACTATTACATATCCAAAATTCAGCCCCATTGGATAAATATGGAGTCTGTTACCTAGCAAACACAGAACCATGCTCAGGATGGATTTTTGTCAGCGAGCAAAACGAGTTAGCAATTTGTTTTGGCCTTAACTTCTTCATCCGAGCTTGGATTGGGCCAATACTTGTGTGGTTGGATCAGACACATTCTGAACTTCAATTTGGAGTGCTTAAAGTCGTCATTTGCTTAAGAGAAGCCCAATTTGTAAGCCCTTGAAGTTGCTGGTCATGCTGACCTCAGGATGAGCTATTGTTTCTGGTTGGAAGCTTGGTCATGGTGACATGAAGATGAGCTAGGACTGCTGGTGGGATTTATTGGTGAAGTGCATCAACCAATTCAGATTTTATAATACAAGTGTTGTATGCATTAGTCATATTGAATTCAGATTTTCACTTCCCCTAGGCCTAAAAATACTTCTCATGGGTCCTTTTATTGTTTTTTATGTGTTCCTCCTCTGTATTCTCTCTTGGTTTTTGCTATGGTATGCCTTTCAGTTTGTGTGGATGTCAAAGAACTATGATTTTACTCATAGAAAGCTTCTTTTGACAGTTGGGATGTTCTGCGGTTCTCTCCTGTGGGTTTACTATTTGGGGTTTCTACGGTCCTCTCATGTGGGTCCACTATGTTGGTCTCTAGTTGCCACAGTCACCATTATTTGGTGACATTTGGTGACATTTGCTGGGTTGACTAACACCAAATGTCACCAAATAATGGTGACTGTTGCCACTTTTTTTTTGTAGTGTGTAGTTCTCGTTGGAGGTCTTTGTGTTAGTTTTCGTTTTTTATTTGTTCTTTTATTGTAATGGCCCAAAGTGACTTGAATTGGACTCTCTTGTTAGTCCATGATATGTGTGGTACTGTTTCCTCCATTGGGGTTTGTCCCATGAGGTTGTCCTAGGAAGGTTTTAATGAGGCCACTGTATCATGTCGCTCTTTGTACGTCTTTGGTTCTATCATGTCCCTATCAATAGTATTCCTATGATGAAAATTAATATCCTTATTCAACTTGTGATTGATTTAGCAGAAAAAGTAGAACAAATAGGATAAATTAATCAAGTAGTGCATAATACCTCTTCCACACTACCTAAAGGATGAATTAATAAATTAGAAAATTAATTCTTTTTAGTACAAGTGATAATCTAAACTAAAGGGGAGGGGGATTTCTCACACACACACACAAAACTAAGATGCCATGGGGGGTTTGAACTTGAGACCTCTTGTTTGCAAGTCAAGTCCATTTTTCACTAGATTGTCTTTTTTAGGGAAAAAAAAAAAGAACTTTAGAAACTAATAATCATACAAGAAAAATTAAAATATATCAATTAAAAAAATAGTAAATGGAACTTTTCAGGAGAAAAGAAAAAGAAATAATAAGACCTTAGTACCCAATTTGTGCAATTTCTCCCATTTATGGCCAAAATACGTGACGTAGGCCAAATATAGAAAAATTCAAGATATTATCTTGGTTTTATGAGATAATCCTGATATTGCCAAAATATGGCTAACATTAGCTTATTTGGAAGCAAATAAATATAAGTAGCAATTATCTTTTGGGAGTTTCACTAAAACACCCAAAATAGGGGCTGAAATTATAAAAAAAAC